TGAAAAAAAGAAATAAAAGGAGGGTTCAGGATGAAAACCCGAAAAGGGCGTCTTGGAACCAAAGGAGGTCTTAAGTTGAAAACCCGCAAAGGGCGACTTGAGTTGAATTTGAAATTCAGAATTTGTGCATAGTGGAAGGTTCTGAATTAATTTTGGAAGTGGAAAGAGCTCCTGATATGGATAGTAACAATGACAGTTGGTGACCAGGGATGAGACTAAAGATTAATGAGTCTCGGTTGAAATAACCAGGAGAGATATTGAATGCACATGAGATTCAATACTGGTTTAGGGCATCCAATGATAGAGATTTGGGAGTTTAGAAGTAGTTTCATACTCTTAAGCATCACAATTTTGAAGATCTTTTTGACAGAAGCTACGCTCGAGACATTCTAACGGCGTGCCAGTTCAAAAGCATTTGCATTATTGATATTTGAAGACGCCTACTCTTTTGTTCTTTTACTGTTTCCAGTTAAAAGTTTGCCATAAAATTACCTAAAAATTCTCTGCATTTTATAAATAAAGAGATGTATTTTCTTGTTAATTTCCCTCTTACAAACATCTTATTTTGAAAGGTCAAAACATATAGCTTAACTTGAAGTACATGAGATCATTTTGTATTATTGTGCAAAAGGTTTTGGAGAACGCAGGTATTCTGAAGTTGACAATGATTTAAACATGTAAGCTTGTGTGGTTACGGGAAAATGAGATCTTGAAGTTCGTAGAAAATTTCAGCCATTAAAAGATGACCCAAGGAGGTTATCATTGATCAAGAAGTTGGTCATGGGTACTGACGGGTTTCAAGAAAGAAATAAGTCAAGGTACTATTAAGCCGAGAGATATGGAATTGAGATTGTTAATTGGGGGTGAACTGGTCAAACGTTCTGTGCCCAAGATGAAGCCGAGTTCCATCGAGATCAAAAGGAGATAGAGTTCCTTCAAAGAAGAAAACGCATTGAATTGCATAATTGCATACATTTTAGGCATGAGTAGGATCATGGCATTCATAATTGCATGATGACTTAAGCATTTGCAGGTTTCCCAATGATAGTTGAAGATTGAAGATATTGAAGCATCGAGATGAAGATAACTGGTCTTGAGATTTTGACAAGAATGTTGTTCAGACGAAAATTGAGTCAAAGCAGATTCAAATATCCAATGGCTTTCAGACAAGTTTTTATGATAGAGATGAATTTTAGAAATTTTCTCAAATTCTAAATTTTTGAATATAATATTTCTAAGCATATGTTCATAATTGATAATGTTTGATTTTCAGGTTTGACCTTCAAAATAAGTAAATTTAAGCCTTCACGAAAGAGCAGTGAAGCAATTAAATCTATAAGCCTTCACGAAAGAGTAGTGAAGCAAACTCGTTTGTTGAAGATTGAGTCCTATACTCTCTGAAGGAATAGGGAGCGGACAAGTTCGTTGAAGATTGAGTCATATACTCTCTGAAGGAATAGGGAGCGGACAAGTTCGTTGAAGATTGAGTCCTATACTCTCTGAAGGAATAGGGAGCGGACAAGTTCGTTGAAGATTGAGTCCTATACTCTCTGAAGGAATAGGGAGCGGACACGTTTATTGAAGATCGAGTCTTATACTCTCTGAAGGAATAGGGAGCGGACCCGTTTTTTGAAGATTATTCGAGTCTTATACTCCATGAAAGAATAGGGAGCAGACACGTTTACTGAAGATTATTCGAGTCTTATACTCCCTGAATGAATAGGGAGCAGACACGTTTACTGAAGATTGTTCGAGTCTTATACTCCATGAAAGAATAGGGAGCAGACCCGCCATTTGAAGATTTTTTCAAGTCTCGCTTATCCCGAAATAGCAGAGAAGCGGATTAATCTTCTGAAGTTCTAATGGCCGGACAAACTTGATCATCTATTGATCTTTGCTCTATTCTCGTTGCACAACAATGAGCAAAGAGGGGCAGCTGTAGATGCTTAATTTGTCTGGGCCTATATCATGGGCAAATGAAAGTAGTTTTTGGGAGTTAAAAACCAGAAAAAAAAAAGATAGTGGGGAAATAACTACCAGAAACGTGGGACATTTAACCACTAAAAAACGAGAGCATTAGGGGAGACGAGGGGAGGAACTAGGGACAGAAACGAAAAAGAAAAGAGAGGATTTAGAACGAGAGAAAACGGAGACCATTGTAACAGAGAAAAGAGAATAAATCAAAAAAAATTTCTTTTGTAAAGGTCTCTCGACCACCATTTTGGAAGGAATAAAGGAAAGCATTCTTTTATTCACTCTGTCAGTAGAAGTAAATATCACTCATTCGCAAAGGCAATAGCAGTCTCTCGAGGTATATTCATTCTAAGTTCATTTTTTATTTACAATGTAGTGTTTGTGCTATTTTGATATAAGCATGATGAAAGAAGAAAGTTTTGAAGTAAAGAGCAGAGTTTTCTGTGCGTGTGTGGTTATTGTTTAGAGCGAGACAGGAGAGGTTTAGTTGTGCTTTACCAAGTCCTGTTACGGGTCTTCACGAGTGTAAGGGAGCCAAGAGTGGTTAGCATTGCCTGAGCTTTAGAGTTATTAGGTTGGCAGTGTCGGTTTTCAAAGGTTGACATAGAAGCAATATTGGAAAGCCCCGTATTACCATTGTTTTTTAGAAGCAATGTAACAGGCTTCTCGGATTTTAAAATAAAGGAAAGCATTGTAATTTCTTCCCCTTCGTTTTTCAGAGAAAACAAAACGCACAATCATTCCTATTTTTCATTTCTTTTCTCCCATACGAAAATAGTGTACAAAGAATAGTAAAGAGATTTATCAACCATTTTTCTTTGCATTTCCAGTAAGTTTTCTTCCCCATATTTGAACCAAAATAATAAGAAATGAAAGAGCGGAGATGAGATGAAAGAGAGTTACCTTGCTTTGATTGAATCTTCGTCGGAATAGAGAGACTGTTCTCGTCTAGTCGTTGGGCTTAAGAGCATGAATTATTGCGGTTAGCTTTGGGAGGTTTTCTTTGTAGATTCATTTTAGTGTCCTAGGTTTTGAGGTAGGAAAGAATGAAGTCTGGATTTGTGAGTTTTCATCTAGGCTACGACTGTCACGGATGATAGCTAGAGTCGATTTCATCACCAATGAATGGTGGAGTTCACGGTACTCATGGAGATTGAGGGAACTGATTCTCATCTTGGTTGTAGGGGTTAAACGAAGAAGTGAAACAGAGAGAGTTAGGGGAGAAGAGAGGTGCTGTCGTGGAGAAGATGAGTGGAGAGCAAAGTGAGAGAGCGGCTAAGGTAGTGTGAGTTTAGGATTAGGTTTAGTTTATAATTAGAATTTATATTAGAAATGTTAGGGTTAATTATTCGTAAGTCATCGTCTTTTAGAAGTTATTAGCGTGAGGTCTAGTATATTTAGCTTAGTATATTTTAGTCCTCGATTAGAATCTTTTATTTTTCATTTTAGTTCTCATATTTTTTTGCGTATTTGATTTCATCCTTAATTAGTAATATACTTAAAATCTGTTTTTTAGACATTTCATTCTTAATTTTCGCATGTTTCGTTTTAGTCCACGTTTAAGTTTCTTATGTGTATGCATGTATGGTTAGTTAGGGTTCGTTTCGTGTGTATGTTTATCCTAGGTTTGAATGATGGCGATATGTGTGCATATGTTATTATACGGTTCATAAGCATGGATTTAGATATAATATATACTTTTATTTAATCGATCTTTACATGACATCATTTTGGTATAATTTGCATGATAGTCTCATTTGCATAACTTGACCTATTACATAATCGGACTAAGGGTAATACACTTTTAATTTAAAATTGTATTAAGTGGGCAGTCATAACTGATTTAAGGTCCGCTTTTAATGATTTTAAAATAAAAGTGTATCCCGAAAGTGAAACCTAAAAATTGATCCATCACACTAAAATTTGGGAACGAGAGAAAAAGAAATGTTCGTTTATTTAAATATATCGAGAAAAGGTTGTTATATCTTTAAGATCTGGTCTCGATATTTGTAAATAATCGAACATTCTTTATCTTTCTAAAATGACTTGGTAATTTTAATTTAATTTGTTTAAGTGTTTTTGAATGTTTTAAATTTACATTTTTTATTTCATAGGATCAAAAATCAGAATAAATTCGAATTTGTAAAATTCATTGTAAAGACGTTAATTGATCGACTAGGTACCAATTTAGGGTATTGTGGGGGTGCTAATCCTTCCCCACACGTAACCGACTCCCGAACTCGGATTTTGGTGACGCAGACCTCAATTTGTTGTTTTAATTAAAATTAATTTTTATTTAAAATGACAAAGCATTTTTGGGTGTCTAATCACACCCTAATCAAAGATTGGTGGCGACTCTTCGAACCTTATTTGTCGATCGTAAAGGAAATTCAAATTTTTCGAAACGAGAGGTCTTTTAAATCGCATATGTTTTTAAAATGAAAAGAGACAATTAAGAATTAATGTGGTTTTCAAAATCTCACCGTTTTTCACCTTTTAAGAAAAAAATCGTTTCGACAGTGACTGTGTGATTAAAATTTTTCCTCACTTTTCTGTAGATTTTGTTTTTAAAGAACGTCATTCCAGTCCAACTAACGTATATCTGATGCAGTGAATATATTAACTCTAGTATGATATGGGAAACCATGAACTCAGAAAACTCTCACTACCTTGAGAGGCTGTGCTAGTTACTCTTCAACTTCAAGTGAGTCTGCCAATCATTTGTAACAGGCAAATAGCTAGAAACAGATGGATGATTCTAGAATTTAACTATTGTCATTAAGATGATATTAAATGTTAAATTTTATCATGTTTAGCTAGGCATCACTCCTTATCATCTGTAGGGGGTGCTAATTTACTTCTCGAAAAGGAAGTAAATTATCTCATCAGAGAAGTGGGAGTTTAAATTCATTTTAGCTCATAGTTCCTTTCCTACTCAACTACCCACCCTCACCACTAATAAATAAATAAAAGTACACACACATAAAATTGTTCTTTAAACAAAAATCATTGGTAACCAATCAAACCTGAACAGGATTCAAAAGAAGGTTCAAGCGCTGCCTGAGGGAATCTCCATGCCGGGCACCACTCTTCTTATTGATGAAAACCAGTAACGATATCGATTCTGGTGGTAAATCAGTCAGCTCATATCTTTGCTTCATCCTTGATGCTTGAGACTCGTCCTTCTGATCAATTGATCCATTTCTTTTTGCACGAGGCTTTGACTCTGTTTTCGTATCATTGCAGTTCTTTTCTATAGCATGAGAACCATTTACATTTTGTGGGGTATCAGCAGTGCCCACTGTCGATGTGTCACAGATGCTACCATTACTACCAGTAGCAGCTGTGGTTTTATTATTATGCTTGTGCTTCTTTCTCTGACTCCTAATGGTTTCCCATACTGAAGAAGCTAACTCATTTGCACCATGTGTGATTGAGCTCAGAAAACCAGAACTGGGGTTCAATTTCTTAACATAAAGAGGTGAGAGAATCAACCTTCTGAATGATCCTAAATCACAAATTTTATCAGTTTTATTAGATATGCTACCGTGACAGTCCACATGAAGGAGTCGTTGGCACCACAAGCAACACTATATAGGAGAACCACCAAGGAAAGACCCACTGCATGGTTCTTCACAATAGCTACAGAATGATGCTCCATCAGGTTGATCAGTAAGCTCTGTCCATCGAACTGTCAACTGGTGCATCACATGCTCAAACCCAATCATAGATACACACTTACAATCCTTCTGTGCACGTGAATAGCAGCAAATGAGCCACTGCACCACATATGCTACAACGGTGAATGAAACTATCTGATGCTACCTTAGGTCCTAGAGTTTGGGAAGGTGACATTGGCTTCAAGCAAGCACATCAATTTATATTCTTTGCACGGGATACAGATTCCAGATCCCAAGTATGAGAAGCTCCAGGAATCTTATGCTTGGCCTTAGGGTTTTTCTTTGACAGCGCTACCGCTTTCATCCAACTTAAGTTAATATTTCTTGTCCACTGGAAAGCTGTGTAAACTATAATCAAAATACCAACCAGGCCAGCGATAACACAAGAGAGAGTCCAACTGGGCTGCAACATATCTTCTTCGTCCATTCTTCAAATCATATACAGCAGCATTCAACCGTTACTAACAAGCACTCCAAATCCACATATGCCAATGCAAATCGCTCCTTATAATAAATGCTTGCTAGATGCTACCAGTAGCTATAACAATCCATATTCATACTTCTTACACCATCTCATTAGGTTCTCTTCTCTTGTCTCGCAGCAATACTAGAAGCCACTTTTTCTAAGAAAAATGCCTAGCCATTGGGGGGAAAAAGCAATATCAAAATTAAGTGATTAATAATACATAAAATCAGAGAGGAAAATCTCAACATAAATTCCACAATAATTACCGGAGCAATAAAATGGAGCATATAGATTTCTAACTCTTCGAAGAATGCCTAACCATTGAGAAAAACAATTAATGGCAAAACTGCATTTCCTGGGTTAAAAAAATGAAAATGTTATAAATTCATAAAAGAGCGACTTATAAATTATAACGTAGAAAATCAAAAGGATTTTTCAGCTTAAATTCGACAATAAATACCAGAGCTATAAAAAAAAGGAAAAAGTTAAAAAAAATATCAATTATATTGATTTCAGGAATGCATGAAATTTACTGTTCGAGCTATGAAGAAAAAATATAATTAAGTTTCGCGGTAACAGAAATGAAATAAACCTTCGTTCGCACTGAAGTAAGCTTGATACGCGTCCTTTTTCTTAGCAACCAAACAGCGAATCAGTTTATACATAATTCAATCAATCTGACATGGAAGAATAAGAAACAAAATCATTCGAAAAAGGAAAACAGAGACTTACAGAAGCGGCCAATGAGAGACAGGATCGATGAAATCACAGACAGAAAACGCTAAAGCAAAGAAGGATTTGATATATACAGAGAGAGAGAAACGGTGGGAAAATCGCGATTCGAACAGCCAAAACTCAAATTTCAAGCTTTACCCCTTTGAAATTATTCATTAGACATTATTTAAAACTCAAAAAACAATAAAATTAAATCATATTTCATTATTAAGTCTTTTTTTTAATAGTGGAAAATAAATTTAACTAAAACGATTTTATGATTTTGGAGCGAAGAATGGTGCGCGCTCGGCGTGTGGAGTGCCCAGATTTTTGAACTTTGATTTAAATGCCACGTGGTATTAAAAGAGTTTAGGTGGTACAGAAATTGGGTCCCATCTCCATGTAAAGGGATCGTGGATGGCTTGATACACTGTGGACAGGTTAGCGATTTCTAATGGTGACACGTGTGAGCTACTCAAACTAGGACAATGTATATTATGGGTAAACAATATCGGTGGTGTCTTACATTTTAGGTTCGTTTGATTTTAGTCATCGATTTTAAAACAAATTAGTTCTGATCTTTTATATTATTGATTCAATACATTTTAGTCACTCCACTGTTAAATCCCTCTAAATTAATAAGGAAATCTGTCTTGACATTTAACAAATAAAATCTGTCAGCTTTTGCTTTACTCTTCCTGACCTTAGCATAGAAACACATACCAAATAGAAGAAATGGTGGTATCATTTATTATAAAAGTTTTGGAATTTTTCAAAGACATTCGAAGAAGGTACAATAATATTTAAAATAAACATGCTTGGATATGTATGTATTGAATATAAATATTAAACAAAAAATGTACGTATGGATATTGAGGGCCTAAAGGCTCTTGATATCATCAATAAAGCTCTTAAAGTTCTTCAATGAAGATCCACCTTCACTGGAACTCTTTCTAACAATATCCTTTGCATGTAATGCTGTTTCTCTTATTACATCAGATGAGATCAATGTGTTTATCTTTGAACTTATTTCATATCTGCTTGTAATTCCATTCTCATCTTTGTTCAACTCCAAACCAGTCTTCAAAACATCACATATGTACTTCTTGTTACTGAACTGGTCAGCTATGTATGGCCAACATAGGAAAGGTACCCCCATGGTTAGGCCTTCCATGGTCGAATTCCATCCGCAATGGCTCACGAAACACGAAACCGAAGGGTGAGACAACACCATCTCCTGCGGTGCCCATTCGACAATTCTCGACCGTTCGGATACTCGATCACGGAATCCGTCCGGGAATTTCGCGGTCGATCCATCCATGAAGTCTGGTCTAACAATCCATAAAAACGGTTGCCCTGAAATTTCAAGACCAAGGGCTAGCTCTTCAACTTGTTTAGCGGATGCTATTGTTGAGCTTCCTAATGCCACGTAAATGACTGAACCAGCAGGTTGTTCGTTGAGCCAAGCCGAGCATGGTGAGTCTTTAGGCCAAGATTTTCCGGCGAAAGTTGCTGAACGGTTGGTGAAAAGTAATGGACCAATGGGCAAGGCTTTGGGAATCAATTTGAAGAGTGGTGAATCTAGTTCATAAACTGAGTTGCAGAGTATGAGATCATAAAATTCTGCATACTGAGGAACAATAGAATAAAATCCAAGTAAAGCTTTGCTTAAAATGGGATGACTGCTCCTCCATCCAATATCTGAGCTGCTCCAGGCACAGGCAGGGACATCCTTGGATAGCATGATCGGCTCATCTTTCATTATAATTCCTAGAAATTCAAGTTTTACAATTAGATCAAGCAAAAAATGTTTATATATACATGTATGTATCAATGTATGTATGTATGTATATAGACCCATCTTACCATCACTGTTTATAATTTCATCTTGAAGAAGTATAGGAACGTGAGCTGCCAAGGCCAAGCATGGAGCAGCAGCAGGCCAGATTGCCACAGCTTCAAGTCCCATCTTCTTGGCCACTTCAAGTGCCCCACCAACTGATATATCAGCAATAACACAACTGATCTTCTCATCGGCACCCGACTGATTAATTTCTGCAATCAAGCCCGCCACATAATTCGGTATAACCCTCCGTATCATCTCGATCGCCTCTAAAGTCTTGAGAGGATCATACCGAACATCTTCGTCCACTCCATCGGGGATCGAGACAAGTGTTATCGAGCTTTGCTCTTCGAAGTTCTCGGGCAGGGACTCCCTAAATTTCCCAAGTTCAACCTCCGTGGTGAAGAACGTTACCTTAACTCCATGAGCAGCGATTTGGATCGAAAGTTTCATTAACGGTGATATATGGCCTTGTGCAGGGAATGACACAACAAGAACGTGCGGCTGCCTCTCCATTGAATATGCTTATTGCTTGCACAGGCCTGCCTATGCCTATATATATATGTTTGATAACAATATAGTAAAGTTTTTTCGTATATTTAAGGAATCGTATTCGTTCGAATACGTATTAGATGAATTTGTCTTTTACAATGGACTGAGATGCGCATGGCCTTTTCATAGCGGTATTTTCAATACATATACTCCCAATATATTATCATGTAGACATGGAACTTTAGACCTGTCTGTTTGATGGTGCTTCTACTTGTTCGGCAGGATCAGTTCCTGAATAAAGATTCTGTAAATTCAATCAAATATGGATTATCATAAAAAAAGATCATTTTCATTAAAGTTTAATTATATTTTTAAATAATATTAATACAAAATTAATATTTTTATATCAAGACCAAATCAAATTAGGTGTAAATAATAGCAAAATAGGAAAAATATTTACTTTTTCCAATTTAGGTTTTATCAAAAAATGATTTTATTGTTTGGAAGTATTTATATATTTTTATAATTATAAATTGAATAATCATTTAAAATTTAAGGTTTATGGTTGAAATAATTAATTTTATCAAGTTCTTGTATTGTATTCGATTTTTATTATGGCTACTGCTTCCTATACAGGTCCCTGGAGAACTTTATTTGTCGTTCTTTCGGGGCTTTGGAAGAACCGAAACACTAAGGTGACGTTTGGTTGGATGGAATCCCTTAGAATTAGTGAGAATTGGAATCCAATTCCACCACTTTTCCATGTTTGGTTCAAGTTTTTCAAGGGAATTGGAATCCCTGATGGAATTCAATTTCATCAATTTTGGAGGGAATTGAAATTTGACCATACTACCCTCATCAATCCTTTGGTAACTTATTCATATATTAAATAAAAATATTTTTTTATTATTTCGAGTCGGGTTTCTAATTCATATATTCGGGTCGGGTCGGGTCGGATGAAACTTTATTTTGGTCGGGTCGGATCGGGTTTTTTTAAGTGTGATATTCGGGTCGGGTTCGGGTTTAGGGTGAAAAAAACGGGACCGACCCGAAAATATATATAATTCAGGTCGGGTCGGATTAAGTCACTGTTTTTATTAAATAAAAATAATTTTTTATTATTTCGGGTCGGGTCGGATTTCTAATTCATATATTCGGGTCGGGTCGGATGAAACTTTATTTTGTTCGGGTCGGGTTTTTTAAGTGTGATATTCGGGTCGGGTCGAATCGGGTTTTTTTGAGTGTGGTATTCGGGTCGGGTCGGGTTCGGGTTTAGGGTGAAAAAAACTGGACCGACCCGAAAATATATATAATTCGGGTCGGATTTCTAATTCATATATTCGGGTCGGGTCGGATGAAACTTTATTTTGTTCGGGTCGGGTTTTTTTAAGTGTGATATTCGGGTCGAATCGTGTCGGGTTTTTTTAAGTGTGATATTCGGGTCGGGTCGGCTTTAGGGTGAAAAAAAACCGGACCAACCCGAAAAAAATATATAATTTTACCTTATATATTTAGAAATAATTACAATAATACCCCTCTATATATAATTTTTTTCAATTAAGTCAATGTTTTTATTGAATAAAAATAATTTTTTAATTATTTTGAGTTGTGTCGGGTCGAGTTTCTAATTCATATATTGAATAAAAATAGTTTTTGGTAACTAATTAACATACTCCGTTTGGAATGCATCGAAATATTGCTCTATCTTTTGGTAACTTATTAACATATTTTGATTGCGATGATTTTAACTTATAATGTTTATTAGCATGATTTTTATAATTTATTGAAATGAATAATCAATCAATAAAATATAAATTTAATATTTTTTAATTTTTTATAATATATTATTACATGTAAGTTATAAAATAAACTAAAATAAAGCAAAAAAAACAAGAAGGGTAATTCTGTCATTTTACATTACTGAAATCAAATTCATCTGACATGTCTGTGAACCAAACAGAATATGTAATTGTATTCCAATTCCATTTCCTACCAACCAAACAGAATATGAAATTGGATTCTAATTCCTACAGATTCCAATTCCCTCATAAACATTCAAGCGAACCAAACACCACCTAAAGTCCTTAGTTCATGATTGCCTGTCTCTCATGCAGGCTTTACGAAGAAAATTGTCGCGCGATACGAACGAATTTCAGATGATTCGACATATTTCCAAGATTATTGGAAATCATATCCCATATCCATATATCACAAACAAGTGTCAGATACGAGAACTTCAAGAAAAATAAAGAGAGAGAGAAAGCAACATATAACAAGTTATCAGTATCATGAATATAAACTAGTTTGTCATCTGGAATAATAATCCCAAAAAATTGAACTTTAACAAGATCACCATTTATCTCCACACCATGATCTGATATGAACTGGGCAAAAAGAAAATTCGCAAACTTAAACTACATGATTTAAGTAATCGTTAACTCTGCGTTCCTGGTCGAGCTGGTCCGAAATAGTTTGTAACTAATCCCATGATAGCAAACCTGATTCCAAGACAATCAAATGAGTAATAAATACGGGATATGGTTGAACCATCGTATGAATCAAAGTAAGGTAGCAAAAATATTCCATACAAAACAGGGAAACAAGACACTGCCTAGAATGAGAAAACATAATTAACAAAATCCACTCGACAAACATTAATAAAAAGGTGCAGATAATTGAGATATCCCCAAGCCGAAAATTTCTAAAATGATCTCTGAGCAAGTTGGTAGAAATAAGGTATCAGGAGAAGGAAAACTGGTGTTTTCCATAGAAACATCAGACTAAACACGGAATAAGGGGGCGGGTTACCGGAATAAGGGTGTTTTCCATAGTTCAAAGAGCGATCATCCAATTCAATTAGAGAATGCCACAGAAGAAAATCATCACTAGAAAAGAAGTTCTTAACAACCCCTCTCCAAATTCACGAAGCACGGGGTGACCAAGAATTATCTATCATACATGAATTCGGATCCAGATTGTAAACACAACACACGACCCTTTTCCACCAAGAGACCTTTTCAGAAGCAAATTTCCACACCCATTTCCCTAGAAGATCCCTATTCAAAAGGACTAGGTTTGGGATACCTAAACCCCAAAATTTTTAGGCCTACACACCGAAGTCCAATTCACCCAATGAATATTCATTTTTCCTGTCGAACCCCAAAGGAAGGCTGCCAATATAATGGAATTTAATTTCTTCAAAACAGTGACTGGTATCCGAAAGATAGAAAGGAAGTAGATGGGGAGAGCACACAACACTAACTTCACCAAAACCACCCTTCCGACTCAAGATAGAGAAGAAGCCTTCCATCTATACAACTTGTTATAAAATCTTTGAACAACCGGATCCCACAAGGCCACCGAATTTCTCTTGGTCCCCAAAGGTAAACCTAGGTACTCAAACGGAAAGGATCCCTCCGAACAACCAATATCCTTAGCCCAACCTGCTAACAGCTTCGCATCAACATTAATGCCCAAGATTCCGCTCTTAGCTAAATTTAACTACAACCCCACCAACATTTCAAAAATTAATAACATCCTTCTAACATTCTACGAATCCCAAATAGTGGCATTACAGAAAATATTGAGATCATTTGCAAATTTCAGAAACGACAACATGAAGGAACTGTAACATCCTCAATACCGGGTTAGTGACCCAATTGTAAAGTTTCAGAATTTGGTGACTAAAGTATAAGAATGAAATAGTTCAATGATTATTGGATGTATATGATGAAGGTTAATTAGTAATTATTAAAGGAAATTAAGGGTTAAATGGTCATTTGACCAGAAAGATTTTTATATTCCTTTTTAAGGGTAATATAAACGTGGGATATGTGAGAACCATCGAGAGTGCTCTTCTCATTTCTTCTTCTTCATACGTGGGAGAGCAAGGCAAAGAGCCTAAACGAGTTCCGGAATCATTGACAAGTAAGATCGATAAAAACGGAAGATAAGAGATTGGAATGGACTAGTGAGGCCAGGTGAGTGCATATTAGTATTATATGATGTTAAATGGAAATAAGACTTGCAACAAGTCTATTTCTATAGTAAAATGCATGAATTCATAAATAGAAGTATATACGTGTATGATTTATATGTGTTGACATGTTATTGTATATATGTATTATATGGTTGATGTGAATATGTGATATGTTATGATGATATAAGAATCTCTTACAAGATATATGATATGAAAATATGATAATGAGCTATGTGAAAGAACTATGAGTTATATGGAAAATATATGCGAACAATATATGACATCTATGTTTATATGAAACAATGCAAGGTGATATGAGCTGTGTGAGATATGAATATAAAATCATATGAGAAGTGAAAATAATTACATGAAAATAGACTAAGTGATTACATGTATATGTGAAAGAAACTATATGATGCGATTTATGTGATTACATGCAACATATGATATTAGATATATGTTTACACATATATGTGGTATGTGATAGAAGAGAAGGAACATGTGATTATGAGATCAATGATTACACGTACATGTGATACGTGACTGGAAAGAAAAGATATGTGTTTATAAGAGAAAGAATATGAATAAGTAATGTGAACTGTTACAAATGATAATGCCCATGTTATGTGATATGAGAGCTAGGGGTATAGTTGGCATGCCAAGGGTCGAGGGTTTACCTATGTTCTTCGGGACATATGGACTGTTTACCTATGTTCTTCGGGACATATGGACTGTTTACCTATGTTCTTCGGGACATATGGACTGTTTACCTATGTCCTTCGGGACATATGGACTGATTACCTAGGTTCTTCGGAATCTATGGACTGGTCCTTCGGGACATTGATCGAGCTGTGGTGACAGCATATGTGTGCACAACCTCAATGTACTCACATACCTTAAGTTCTCACTAGTGTACATGGGCTAATAAAGTGATTAAACAAGCATACTGAATGTGATATGTATACGATGGGTTTATAAGTGGTTTGAAATGTGTTACGTGAACCATATGATGTTGTGTGTGTATAGTGTTTGATTGAAAAGGTTA